TGCTGTTTTATTGAAGATCTCTCTGTATTTCTGATGAGGGCATCAAACATTCTCCCTGTTTCTCCCCCCCTCCCTCCTCCCCTCCTCGCCCTCTTCCCCTCCAGGTCTCCCACGACTTTGCGGTGAATTTTAACGAGGAGAACCCAGAGTGTGCAGGTAGGCGCTCTGATTTCCTGCACTCAAATATTTGACAGTGGAGGAAACGCTCTGATGTGAGGACGAGGATCAGATTACAGTTCAGGAGGGTCTGCACTCGTTACCATGAAGGTCCCTTCAGACTGGACTCTTATCTGGAGAGGAAGTGTGGGGGGGGGAGGAGGGGGTTACATCTGAGTGCACTGGAAACTAAATATTAACTTAGATTATTACTCGGCTTAGTTCAATACTCAATTCTGATTGGTCAATTTGGACATTTCACAACATGTTTAGCCTAGCTTAGCATAGCTTAGCATGGGGAGACTGTTAGCCTAGCCTGGTTTCAGTCTCACATAAAACTCATGGCAATTAGTTTCCTCCGTGTTGTTTCTCACATTGTTGGGACTGTAAAGGTCACACACACACACACACACACACACACACACACACACACACACACACACACACACACACACACACACACACACACACACACACACTGACACCTAATTGTGTGTGTGTGTCGGTCTGAAGGAGATGGTGTTATCATTGACCTTCACACCTTCAGACCTGCCACGGGGCATGCTGGGATATCTCTATATTGGTCCCAAGAGACGGGGTGAACTTGACAGGATGTTTCTCTGCTGGATGCTTGTGAAGGATATGTTGGGAACATTTTCCTCAGCTCAAAAAGGGTTTAATGTTCAGGAACATATCGAACTAAAAAGACCTCCACCAAGGCCGATGGAGCATTCAGAGGCTCCTCGAATGGACCAACTTCCCAAGTTAAGAAGTCGTTCTACTTTGACTTTGGTGTGTTCATGAGCTTTAAGCCATAATGTAGAAACAACATGGATGAAGATGTGTTGAACATGTAGATATCTGTTGTTGAGGAGATGTTAAAGGGACTTTTCTCAGTAGGAAAGTTATTTTTTCTGATTTTCTGATGCCCTGATATCTCAGAAAGTTGAATAAATCGAACGACAATGGGTGTATCTGACCCCAAAATGAAGTGGGTTATCCTTGGTCAATGCTACGCCTTTTCCTCTAGTGCATGAAAATAGGCCAAGGATTTTGTATTGTTATCCTGGGGTTAGGGTTAGGCAAGGCAAGTTTATTTATACAGCACCTTTCAACACAAGGCAATTCAAAGTGCTTTACAAAAATGAAAGACATTAAGAACATTAAGAAACATGTTATGAAAAATGGCATTTCAAAATCATAAAAACATCACCTCCTCTGTGGCTGAGTTTAGGGTGCAGTACATTTTCAAAGGTTTTCCAGGGATATCTTGGATGTCCGATGGGTTTATTCATTCTTGATGTTCTCTGCCAGGGATCCAGGGCGTGGTGGAGGCCTACCAGGCCTGCCTCCCCAAGCTGCAGCTCTACGGCCCCACCAACATCGCCCCCATCATCCAGAAGGTCGCCAACACCGCCTCGCAGGAAGTGCACACCAAAGAGGCCATGGTGAGTGAGTCAGGAAACACCACACTCATCAGACCGCTGTTAATTTGTCAAATGTTGGGAGAATACTGAATGTTCCTTCTATATCCGGATGTATGACTACATGGATGACGCTCATGAGATGCTGTGTTAAAGTTATGATAGCTATGTTCCTACGATTGACAGAGGACACAGAATCTAGAGGGATCGGCATATGACTGTCATGTGTATTGCTTAAGCAGGCCTTAGCTAATCTGAACTAATGTCAGAATACTGCTTTGAACCGGTATTCCTCCATCTTGTTGACTGTAACACCCTCTCTTGTATATCAGCATATCAAGGACTCTACTAAAGGAACTCTTTTGTCCCATGCAACCTCTGTGTGTGATGACTACTCCCATTCTTACAAGGATAATAAATACATGGATCCTGATATTGAAGATCAAGCCGGTGACCAGTGAGAGTTTTCTAACATCAAATAACTTCCCAAGCTAAGAATCAAATAGTTTTTGTAACCTAAACGTTGACTTATTTGTCAAAAAAACGTAATTCTGTGCTTAATTAACCCAAAGTTTACAGAATGTTCACAGAATTTAAACAGATACAGGGACATATTCAAAAACAATAAGTGCTTAATTGGGACATCATTAATTGAATTTGTAGATACTTTAAATATTCGATTGTAGTTGACAATGAAAATCTTTTTCAGGGCTTATATTTATACATATAACAAATACATTCTAACATATTAACTTAGATTATTACACGGCTTATTGAACACTCAATTCTGATTGGTCAATTTGGACATTTCAGAGGTGTTTAATAATCAATAACACACTGCTGCTAAGCATGACATCAACGTTGCTATGGAGTGTTTAACTTTGCCCTTTTTATAGTTATTTAAGCCAAATCCTAAACTCTGAAATGCGACATATCTTTGTGCAGGTATGTCTGGTTACTCAGTCGAAGCAAACTTTCAAGAACTACCTATTTGTGTGTTAGTTTAAATGGTTTTGAACAATAATTAGGAAAAGTGAGAAAGGAAGAGACAGTTCTTGCACATTACAAGACGACTGCACCAACTCTGCTCTTCAGTTTCAGACAGAGTTGTCAGACTGCCAATGTCAGACTGACGCTAATTAACACCACTGACGTTGTGCAGATAACAGAAGTGTCTAAGATTAAAGAAAAGGAAACCTGTTTCTCTTTGGGCTTTCTTTGGCTGGATTAGTTTCATGTCAGGTTTGCTTCCCTTGTCTTGACACTTTGAGCACTGACTTGAATTTTAAGGCAACACAAAACACTTTTAGTTCATTTCTGACATACAGCTTTAAAATGAAACCATGAACTTATATATTATAATTGCTCTTTCTAAAGCAGTGTTTCTCAAACTTTTTCACACCAAGGACCACTTGACCAATAAAAAAGCACACACGGACCACCTGACTCCCCAAATATCCCAAAACAAAAGGCCCGCTTACCACTCCAACAGTTTATAACACATTACAGCCTAATCCTGACAGCTTAACCTTCTCTATATCGCCTCGTTCACACAAACCAACAATACAAATACAACTACAGATTCTACAAGCATCTCGTTCAAATGAGATTTAAAATGCTCACAGGTTTTACACGTAATTTATAACGGAGATAATGTCCGAGCCAACAGACTCGCAGTTCTTTGGCTACTGAGAGAAGTGCTAAATGCACCACATGTAGAACGACACCAACCTATGTTCAAAATAAAATACAGTAACGCTTGGGCCCAAGTTCAACATTAAACACAAGTTCATTATTTACACTGTTCCATTTATGTAGCATTGTTTACGCACTCATTGACTGCGTGTCTCTGTTTCCACCCATAATAGTCATTTTTAAACAATTTGAGAAACACTTTGAATTTATAATGTATTTATTTCAAATGTGACATTTTTACCAACATACTCACGGGCTACTAGGGGTCTCTCACGGACCACCAGTGGGCCACACTTTGAGAAACACTGTTCCCGAGGTACATCATGAATCAATGAATCAGTTTACCAAAGAATCTGGATTGTTCGTATATTCTCCGTCTCGCAGCAATACTTCATCCTGCTGATCCTGACGGACGGCGTCATCACCGACATGGCCGACACGAGGGAGGCCATCGTCCAGGCCTCGCACCTCCCCATGTCCGTCATCATCGTCGGGATCGGGAGCGCCGACTTCAGCGACATGCAGATGTTAGACGGAGACGACGGGATTCTGCGATCGCCCAAAGGAGAGCCCGTCCTCCGGGACATCGTCCAGTTCGTCCCATTCCGCAATTTCAAACACGTGAGTCTATTGCATGGACTCAAAAACAATAAAATAAAATCTGTGGTAAACAAATTCAGGTACATTACTCTAAAGAGGATTCATTTTCTTTGTCAACCTTCTTAGGAGTTCCTCAAGGCGCGATCTTTGGTCCTCTATAATTTCTATCTACAAAGTTCCTTGTGGGCTCTAGAATAAGAAACAATATTAATTTCAGTTTCTATGCCCTGTTATGCCTTTATTATATCATATGCTAAGTTGCCACTTCCTTAGTAATAAATGTTCCCTTTCCCCAAGGTTAAATTCAGCTTTTGTTGAAACGGTTTCAACGGTATGATCAGCAAACTAAGCCAAAGCATGAAATAAAAAATCAAATCATCCCAAAATCTGACCAGAACTTTATATCTGGGAAAATAGCGGATGTTAGACAAAATACTAATGAGAATTTAAATGTAGAGAGATTACTTTATAACTCTTATTGGAAAATGGTCTAGGTCACAACATTTTAGAGCAAAAAGAGAATCACGTATCATGTCTGAGCTGAAATACAGACACAGGACAGATGGGTAAGGGAGGCATTTTTCAGAGAAATGAGGCAGGGTTGGCAAAAGTGTTGCTGGCTGGAGTGTGGCGAGTAATCCAGGAGGGGATTGGCAGAGGGAATCCCGAGGTATGAGCTGGCTGGCGGGTTAATCCATAAACTCTTCAAAGGTCCAGCAGAGACTCTCAAAGGGAAGAGGTCTTTGATGGCTGGCAGGTGGGCGGAGAAGGAGGAAGGGGAACAAACAATGTGACATGTCTCCATGCTTTAAGTGGAGGGGGTG